TCGAAAAGGAAAATGCCGATAAAACAATATGATCTGTCAGTACAATCAATTAATTCTGCTCCATCTAATCTTAGATTTTATTATCAGAGAGTTTTCAGATTCAAAGATGTTCCTTCTGATAACTAAGTTAAACCAAGTGTCATATTAATTTTAGAAATTTCACCTGGAACTTTACTTATGAACGCTTTCTACAAATAGCATAATATGTAACGTGGAGGCCCAAAGGCTTGTGAGACGTCGAGGCTCCCACACTTTCTAGACAATCGACTCACAGATGGCGGTGAGGTCGGCCGGCCTTTACCCCCACGGAGATTCCTGGTACTCATTTTTGTTAGAGGCTGAGCCGACCCCAGAGCCATAGTGCGGCTGGAAGGATTAGGTCAAATGAAAAATCGAATGACTTCATCGGGAATCGAACCGGCGAACTTCCGGCTTGTAGCATAGTGCCTCAACCACTACGCACCGCGTGTCCCTTCTCGCTTGTCTATCAACATGTTTAAGTCCGGTACACTTAACAGATTCCAACAGAATCAGGGGTGAAATCCCGAAACACGCACTGAGGATGTTTGAGAAATGTGTTCTGGGTAAGATATTTGGACAAGAGACGCCCCCCTCCGGCTTAACATTGGGGAAGGGGGAGCTACATATCGGCACATACCTCCTGCTAGGGTTACCCATTCCAGACAGATCGTAGGGCTGTCTCTAGATAAGGGATAGACAAACTACGGCCCGCGGGTCTAATCCGGTCATTAGAGGTTTTAATACCAACCGCGGAGCTATTGTGAACATTTGCCTATAGTATTTTTAATTCGTACCTTTTTTTAACATACAGCCGGAATAGCGTAGTCGGTATAGCGACCGGCTACGGGGTGGATGACCGAGGGGCCGGAGTTCGAGTCCAGCTAGAGCCAAAAATTTTCTCCACGTCGTCCAGACCAGCTCTGGGGTCCATCCAACCTCTTAACCAATGAATACCGGGGGGTCAAGCGGCCAGGGCGTGAAGTTGACCACTCACCTCCAACTAATGCTGATGTCAAGAAAACGTGGATCTATACATCCGCTCCCCCATACGCCTTCATGGCATAGTGCTTAATTAATTAAGCACAGGTACAACTTTACGATTTTTACCTTTACATTTTTTAACATTAAGATCCAAATGATTGTTAGCAACTATAAGCGGCACCACCTATCGCATTAATGACATTCATTATGAAAATTATACGTTTACGCTTGTTAATAATTTTAAAATTGACCTCTTTCCTGCCCGGTAAAACACCTGCAAACCGAAATTCGGCTATAACGTTTATCCACCCCTGGCCTAGACGAAAGTTAGCGTCTGGTTCTCCAGGCTAATAACCTCACTTCGGAAAACAATGAGTTACGAAACCGAACGAGGGGTGTAGGAGAGGTGCATGAGTATCTGTCGTAAAGGAGGCCAAGGTTTTCGGGAGGCAACTTTGCGCAACCGAGTTGTTACCGCCGCAGGAACGTGTCTCCGAGCTTCTTCACGCGATTACGGAGGCACATCCTTACACGGCGGTACGAGGTTCTCCAGCTGTGTTTATGAAGAGTTCTATCTTCTGGGATGTGACGCCGTGCAGTCCGGCTCTCACTCTGGTGTCTTGATTGGCTTATGGAGGCCACATGTACGTCCGAACGTTCAACAGACTATACTTCATTATATCCCAGCAGATAGATAAAAGGTAAAGTCCCTGCGCTTAACTAATTAAACACAACGCCGTGAAGACGTATGGGGGAGTGGACATATAGATCCACATTTTCTTGACCTCGGCACTAGCTGGAGGTGGTTAGCTCGACGCACCTTCCGCTTTACCCTCCGGGGAAAAGCCCCTGGTACCCATTGGATAGGGGGCTGGGTGGGCCTCACAGCCGGTCTGGACGATATGGAGAAGAGAAAATTCGAACTCCCACTCCTCGGTCGTCCAGCTCGTAGGTAGTCGCTATACCGACTGAGCTACCCCGGATATAACTCTTCAAAGTAAATAGTGTTTGTCGGGGTTCTCATAGTAATGACTATGACTATCTGCATTTTACCGATGTTTCGGAAGAATTTACTCTTTCCATCTTCAGGGTCAAAAAGTGATGGCGTCATGTCCCAGATGATAATACTCTTCGTACTCACAGTGTGTGTAGAGATAGTAGGTCGATAACTAAACTTCCAAACGCGAAGAAGCCGTGTTACTGATAGGTATTAAGTTTGTTTCCCTAATTATCTGGGAAAGAAACGAAGTCACAATATACATTATTCAAACTTGTTTGTTGATATATCACTGTACTTCTTCATATCGCCGCCAGATGAGCTGTAATCCTGCGAGATAATCATGGACGCAGAGATGAGTAAAATGAGGGGTTAGATGTATAACCAAAGAAATTGAACTCTCTAGTTGGTTGAAGCCGGAACTAGTCTCACTTTATCTCATTGACACTTCCTGCACTTAAGATACTTTCCTACCTAACCTCACTTCTGTTTCTATCAAAGTACTTTAACCATGCTTACAAGCACAAGCCCAAAGAGAACATTTAAAAATAACGCCAAGGCCACAATGCTTTTACGCTAAAGATGTTGCCTGAAAATACAATCCGGCCATTATGATTAACCTGCAAGTCATGGAGTAACATAAAATCACGGGTTTTACTTTAAAGATATTAATGAGAGTTCATTAAATAAAAGGTGTGTTATGGGCACGCGGTAGCGTAGTTGAGGCACTATGCTAGAAACCTGAAGGTCGTGGGTGCGGTTCCCAATGAGGTCATTGGAGTTTTTTCAATTAACCTAATCCTTCCAGCCTCCCTATGACCCTGGGGTCGACTCAGCCTCTAACAGAAATGAGTACCAGGAATCTTCCTGGAGGCGTAAAGGGCGGCCGGCCGGCCGGCGCGTAAGGCTGACAATCTCACCGCCATCTGTAAGCCTCGACGTCTCACAACCGAATGGGCCTCCACGGCCTGTTATAGGGATAGCTTTACCCTTTTCTTCTTCTTCTTTATGAGTGTGTTAATGTTTAGAAACTTGTAGCATCAGCTCCCACCAGGCTGTGAATTACAGTTCTTGCGTTATGAAACTTTCAACTCTCCGGAATTTACTTCCACTATTCCCCTGCAGGGGCCCCACTTATGGGGTTCAGATTTCCCTGATCTGTCCGTCTTTTCCTCCATTATTTGTTGACATTTTCACTTTTCCTCATGAATACAACAATGTTATGTTTCTGGAAAGGCACGTTTCTCTCAGTGTTCAACTTTCTCACTATTGAGAGTGCAAACACAGAAATTCCACCAACTCCGATGTAAGTAAGATAAGTAGAACCAAGGACATTATTCTGTCAACACGATCTTAATATCTCTCTTGTCGCGTCTGTCACCTCAAATGATATAGACCTTCGTTTATTTTTTTTATTAGATGACGCTTCTTCAAAACCAAATGGATTTTTCCATTTATGTCCTTATGCAGACTAACAATACACTCAATACGAAATTCAAAGGCCGTCGATTCAATTTGTGGACGGATGCATAGGATATTTTGCTGTGCCTTGCATGCTGACGACACAATCATGTTTTGTTCAGTAATAATGTTTTGTATTCTCCTATGTTCGAAGCATAAAAGAAGTCTATATGCGTCCTTGTGAAGTCTTATCTACGTACTCGTATTAAACACGAACATAACTTCGTTTCGGAATCTTCATAGCCCAGCAATTTGTATGCACATCGCACAGCCCAACGAAGTAAACAATCCCACAGAATTTCGTATTCAACTCGTGCTTTCGGGGATTACGACAACGAAATGTAAATAAGTGAGACGTGAAGTTCTTACGGCGGTCACTATGTGTTCTGGAATGTGATACCATGTATCTTGTTGATGCTTATCGACGTTTCGGAGGACTATATTGACCCTATCTTCAGCAGGATAGAAGATACAGCGGAAAATGTTTCCAGTCTAGTAGCGCTTGTCATGAGGCATCATCTAAATCAGTAAGACTATCGTAGTTATTTGTAGTTCCGAGTGTAACTGTCCACTAAACACGATTATCGATCAACCCCCTTCTATAGTCACTCCATCACGTGACATTATTATTACTGTGAGGGGTCTTAGTCCTCACCAAACTCTCACACTGGAGAATCATCCTTTGTCATTAACAATGTTTGCCTCTATGAGCCTCCACTGTCATGTGAGTGTGAATAACTTACGTACAATCATTTACAGACTTCGCGCGAGAGTAAATGCCGCATCAGGTGACGAGAAATTGCGCTTCCCCCCCCCTCACTCATTTTTCAGTTAAAATGATTCCCAGAACTTCGCCATAATTAATACTAGAAAGTTTCCAGACACTGACGAAAAGTGTTATTACTACTGCAATTCTTAAGATAGTTTTATCTATATTGTTGCATAACATATTTAGATTGCTGCCAATGAATGTCCGTAGTACAAAGCAAGGGTCAGTAGAAGTTAATTTTCGTTCCACAACAAAGTGAAGCAAGTGAATTATAAAATGAGGACTCTAAAATTTTGCTGCCCCACACGGCCACTTGTATCGCCTGTGCTTTCGCCTTTAGCAATCGTTTTGTAATAATGGTTTAAACCCACACTTAGTTATCGGGATTCCGAATAAAATAACACGAGATTTGTTTTACTGTTCTTCCAAACAGAATCAAAATAACACGAGATTTGTTTTCCTGTTCTTCCAAACAGAATCAAAATAACACGAAATTTGTTTTCTGTTCTTCCAAACAGGATCAAAATAACATGAGATTTGTTTTCCTGTTCTTCCAAACAGAATCAAAATAACACGAAATTTGTTTTCTGTTCTTCCAAACAGGATCAAAATAACATGAGATTTGTTTTCCTGTTCTTCCAAACAGAATCAAAATGACATGAAATTTGTTTTCCTGTTCTGCTGAACATGCAGTCAAGGAACTACCTTATAGTTCGGGAACAGCCACTACTTCTGAGTAAATAAAGTATGAAGTGACAGCTGGTGGCTTACTGTTTGATCCCGGAATGTTGAAATGAGTTTCTCCTCTTGGCTCAATGAGCGAGTTGGTACTCTTCACTGACTCCCAACAGAAGAGAAACACTACCGCACACCCAGCGCTCCTGGCGCGCTCACAGCTACTGATAGCTGTTCCACATCTCCGTGACTTCGTCGCCTGCGTTTCTCCCCTCCCACGGGCCAGTTCCCCTCAACAGGTGGAAGCCGGCCACGGGACACACCTCCCTGTACTCCAAATGACGTCACACTAACACGAATTTGGAAACTTTTATGCAGAAATGACATCAGTTGTCGGGCATCTGAGGAGTGTACATCAGAGGCCGCAGTTCGCGTTGCGCTGTATCAGTACGGGCCCCCTTATAAAGCGTAGTTGGGACATCTACGATGTGCATTTTGCAGCTTACCCACAGATCGTATTCATGTGTTTCACATGATTCTCAGAATAAACAACGGTTATCCCACTAAACTGAGCCGATCCCAGTGGCCGCGCGACCAAACGCATGAACTGTCTTCGCCCGCTCGAACACTGGGATCGTTGGTTCGAATCATACTCTAGGCATGGATGTCTGTGTGCGTTTATTCTGCGTTTATGTTGTTCTGTACGTAGGTATCGGCCTTGAGACAGGCTGATCCCCCGTCCAAGGAGTCATACCGTGCAAAAGACCAAGAAACTGTAAAGCGGTCAAGGTTCAACATAAGACTGTAGAGCTATAGATTGATAGACAGGCAGACAGACAGACACAGATATTCAATTAAGCTGGATTATCCAATTGGTTCTTACAATGAGGAAGCATTGTGTTTTCTGTAGGGTAGGAACTCATTTTGATACCAAGCTATGTGCATGAAATTTGTGCCTCAAACGGTTACCCAGTAAAGTCAAATTAGTTTGTAGTACTTTTGAGTAATTAAAATGACTTATAAAATGTTATCCTGATGTTCAAAAGAAGGGTTGCCATCGTAGAAGTCACATGTAGCCCTTAGAAAGTGACGTACTTGCTGAGCTCAACAGCCAGTGGGCAATTATAGTCCATACTAATACTATTACTACTTCTAATAATAATAACAATAATATTAATAAATAGTAGGTGAAGTTGGCCCTATTCTTAACTAATTAAGCACTACATCATGAAGGCGTAGGGGGGATTGGATATACAGATCCACGTTTTTTTGACCTCTGCACTAGTTGGAGGTGAGTGGTCAGCTTCGCGCCCCGGCCCCATAATATTATGATAATATTATTATTATCACGTACAGTTGAATTCATTTGTTGAAGTGTCATTACAGGCAGACGTATGAATATACCTTAGCTGTCTCTGTACAACAAAATCATAATGGTACTGCGTGAGATGATGGATCCTTACATTCTTGTTGCAGGTAGGTGGATCCGACAACAATAGTCTCCCCTTGTCTTCAGATGTCTTTATTTTCATAACAAATTCTTAATTAGAAGAGCTCCTTTAAATCTGTGTTGTACTGATGTTCTGGCCGGGTAGTAAGTTCGCAAACTGGCCCTCCTGTTCTGTTCACATAGACATACATTCTCCGAGAACACTCTGTATTTCCCTGCGAGCGACCCTGCCACTACAGGCCGACGTGTCTGCGTCTGGTTGCGTGGAGGCAAGACCCGCAAGGCAATGGCCTGTGGCGTGGCGCGCACACTTGTGGAGGCCTGGTATCAAGGCGCACTCCCGAGAGAGAAAACATAAAGTTTTAAGCTACCCCTCAGCCTCGTGAGGATAACTGAGGAGTTATTTCAGGGAAATAGTGGCTCCGGTCTATAAAACCGAAATTAACGGCCGTGGGGACCACGCGACAGCCTCTATCCACTAAAGTTGGCACTAACTTCGCAGACAAGCGGCGGTCGCTCGGTCGGTATAGTTCGCTTGCGGACTCAAGCTACAGAGTTTGTTTTTATTTACGATGCTGTCGATAATGAGACTGCATAGTCTCTGTGATAAGATAATTAATGAACATTGAGCAGTTGGTGGAATGAGAATTGAGAGGGGAAATCGAAATATTCGGAGAAAACCTGCCCCGGTGTCACGCTGTCCACCACAAATCCCACATGATCTGACTCGGACTCTAACCCAGGTCACAGCTGTGGGACGCCGGCGACTAACCTCCCGAGGTGTGCCACGGAGACAAGAAAGGAAGGAAGAAAACAAGAAAATGAAGTAGGACTAAAGAAAGGAAGGATAGGATACAGCAAATGGAGAGAGGAAACACGCTAGGAAAGGAGAATGCAGGAAATGAAATAGAAAAAAGAAAGGAAGAGAGGAAACAAGGTAAGAAGGGAGAAATCAAGAAAAGAAAAAAGGATGCAAGAATGAAGGAGAGGAAACAAGAAGCGATGGAAGAGGGAAGGAAACTTAAGGAAGAGGCGAATTGGAGACAGAAAAAACGGATTGATTTGCTGCACCTAGAGAAAATAACGACCCTCCTCCCAGTACGCCTGCCCCTCTGGATCCGACTCAGGGCGTATGGAGTGAAATACGAAATGAGCCAACTCCCTTTATTCGATTATGACTCTTCGTCTAATGCGGCTGCAATAAAGAGACTGGATCGAGGCTCGACATTCACTCGTCTAATTCAGACAAAAGAAACCGCTGCCTCAGTAGCTGCCCCTACATCACCGCAGCGCGGCTCGACGAGAAACAGCACGTCTCCGTGACGTCATTGCACACGTCACAACAATATAGGTCAGGGACGGCAGAGCTTGGTGTGTGGGCTTACTATCATCCGTTTTAGTCAGTGAAGTAGTGTCAGAAGCCGCCGCAGGGAGTTGTACTCTTGAGACTGTCAGTGTCTAATGCTTCGGCGATTATTACAGTTGCCATCTTCAGGGGAAATAGTTTTCTCTTTCTGTTTCTTTCTTTAATCCTTTGTACATTAATTTATTTGTCTCTTTCTTTCTGCAGTTCCTATATATTCTTTCTATTGTATTGACTTGTTCTATATCCAGAGGTATTAACTTACTTAGGATCTGTGGAATGCAAATAAATTCTGTTCAGTTCAAATCGTTCCTTCTTGCTGTTCTTTATCTCCTTATTTTTCCTTTTGCTTCTTTCTGCTTTTCAATTTTTCTCCCGTTCTATCTTTCTACCTTCGTTTTCTCTGTTTCTTCCCACAAATGGGAATGTTTACTCGTTATTCTCAGTGTGACGTCAGCTGACATTACATAAATACGAGAACCTACCGTAAGAAAACGCAATTTATTTTCAGACACGTAATCTACTTACCTTGCTTAAGGATTCACGTTTGTGCTAATCAGATTTAGCTGCGACGGTCCGGGCAGATAATCCTATTCCAGTCTCACAACAAACTGTTTGAATGTGACGATCGGAAGACGTTGTTACCGTGTCTGGTGGTTATTTTGCGACGCTGACAGTGGCTACACTGCATAGCATCGAGTGGTAGGATATGTGGACGATGAATTGGAAAGGATTTGGAAGGAGGCGGTCGCGCCCTAATATAGGTACTATCACGGCAGTTGCTTGGGGAGAATGAGGAAAACAAAGATCAAAAAAACTCAACGTTGCCCATGTTCCGACTGAGGTTCGAACCGTGCATCTCCCGGACACGAGTATGGAGCGTTACAGCTGCAATAACCAACTCGTATGTCGCGTCAATTTTTTCATAAGAATGTTCCTTGAGAAGGCACGTGACGTAGTGTACAGGCCGCGTTTTGAGATCTTGCCGCTGGATTGCGCATGAGGAGAAGTGAGGAGAAGTATGGGAAGAAGTAGAGGGGCGGTGATTGCAATTGCATTGTGGGAGTGAGGGTGTGGTTTCGTTTGATCAACTCATACACAGCGTATAATATTTATCTCAATTAATGGACTCGACCAATAACTTGTACTATTCTCCAAGTATAATTAGAATGATCAAGTTAAGGAGGATGAGGTGGGCAGGGCATGTAGTACGAATGGGGGAGAAGAGGAATGCATATAGGATATTAGTGGGAAAGCAGGAAGGAAAGAGACCACTGGGAATATCAAGGCGTAGGTGGGTGAACAATATTAAAATAGATCTAAGAGAGATAGCATGGGATGGTATGGATTGGGATGATCTAGCTCAGGATGGGGACCAGTGGATGGCTCTTGTGAAAACGGTAATGAACTTCCGGGTTCCATAAAATGCTGGGAAATTCTTGAGTATCGGTAGAATTGGCGGCTTCTCAAGAAGATCAGCTCCACGAGTAAGTAAGTAAATGGACTGACCAAAACCTCCGCGCAAGCCGATGAGACCGACCCGGTCAAAAAACTCATGTAGTAGCTGTTTCTGTGAAGGTCTGCAACTTTCTTGTGAAATGTGCTTTGATGTGTGTAGGCCTATCTGTTAGTATCCAATTAGGAAACAATTACATAAATAGCATTAAGTATGATAATTTAAATACGTATGTGGAGTTTTAACATGAACAATACCGACTGTCTGAGATTCAGAAATTGAAGTGAAACAAGCGTTGCCCTATGCTCCAAAGTGGCAGGAGAAATAGACAAAATCGGTGAATACAGTGAATAAAGGTACATGTAGAAAAGGCGTATATGATTTATCCTTTATAGTGATATAAATCCTGTGGATCATGTTTAAAAACGCAGTTTATATGTTTTAATTTAAAATAGTCGTTAACATTAAATTTGATAAAAATATCCGTCCAGTCATATCAAATATGACAGCAAGAGGTCCTTAAGAAGCTTCTGAAGGGTAGTTTCCTCTGTCGCAACAGGAGCATCTGGATGACGTCAACTTATGACGTAGTCAGGAAAAAATATGGCGGAAAGAAGAGGAAGGAAACACGGTAATTCCGTGTAATGCTTAATCAGGTTCCTTGCTTTAGAATTCCGGTCTGTCATATGAAAACACACATATGCCGTCTTCTGGGATGTGGCGCCATGTAGATGTTGTATGAGCCGACGTTTCGGAGGAATGTATCGCCTCCATCTTCCTCCGAAACCTCGGTTCACACAACATCTACACGGCGCCAGATACCAGAAGACGGTGTTCTTAAAATCACCTCAGTGAAAACGTCCAATGTTACAAACATTTATTCCTGTAGGAAATGATGCGTTCACAGTGAAACAGTAGGAACAAACTTTACTTTCTCGGAAGACTGTTTTAATTCTTGCATCTATTGTTCTCTTATAAATGAATCGTGA